TCTGTCGAAGTTAGTTGTCAGAAATACTTCCTATTTTCTTTAGTTCTCAGAAATGCCAAAACACTCAACAGTATGAATTATATCCAGTTACCAGTATGAATTATCTGCTGTATTTTATTCTTGTTACAGTGTTTATATCTCATGGTTTTTATTGTGTTTGACGTTGCACCAGTTGAGCTGTACATAACTACTGGTTATGAGTGGAGTAGTGAGTGGTGGTGATCGCTGAGGCATACGCTGTACTTACAGTTTGAACGGTGGTTGAAAAACGATGTGATGCTTCTGTTTGAGGATGAATCCATAGATAATAGGGAAGGAGGAGGGCATGACTGCACTCTTACCACTTGACTACTTGAGAAAGCTTTTTTGTTTTTAAATGGGTTTAGTGACTACAGATCGGTTATTGCAGTGCAACCAAACATGCTGACCGTGTCATATTCAGTGAAAAGCAGTTTTTGTTTGGTAATGGAGTTCTTAATTTCTTTTTAGCTCTTTAATTTGGCTTTGCTTTGACATGGTTTGTGAATGTGCTGTTTGCGAAATGAAACTTTTAGGACCTTGCATGACTGTACATCAAGATTTAAACTGCAGAATGATCATCACCTTGGTTTTTTTCCCCCTATTTTATGCTTTAGTGTGGATGTTTTAAACTGATCAAGCTTTGCTTCTCGCAGATCCTACTGTGTTGATGTTGACATTGAAATGTTTTACTGTAAAGCATCAGCCTGAAAGCACTTGGCCCCTTACCCTGATCGCTTATTTTGGTCTAAATATGCCTCAGCTGAGTGAAAAATAGAAACACCCATGAAACCTGTGCAGCTATGGAAACACACTGTATAGTATTAGAATCACAAATTGTACATATAAGTATGCCATACAGAAAGACTTCTGTTTTGTTTAACTTTTACTTTGCTCAATAGCTCTACATGAAATATATATGAATATTTTTTATTTCTATTTGAATGTATCCTGTCTAATAAATGAAGTGTTTGAAAAACAGCATGCTTTGACTGTCCTGTAATACAGAAAATGTCACGTGTTTCTAATATTTGTACAATTTATTTAATCTGCCAGTAATAAGAATAACTGTTTAAAAAAAGATGCAGTTCAGTCTAAAATTGTGCTAGGCTACAAGTATAATTTGTGAAAAATACACCATTCTGCAGGTATATCCAGAGAGAAGAATGCAATGCTGTGCATAGAGGGAAACATAAAAAAAAAAACACAAGAAAAGGAAAAACATCCATGCATGTCTACATTTACACCTCAGAGCAGTTTAGCGGAACCAGTAATGTGCATTGTTGGCTGTGGGAGAAAGCTGGAGTACCCTGAGAAAACTCCCAAATACAGAAGAACAAGGAAAGTCTCCGCAGGGTGGAATTTGAAACCAGGACCTCCCTGTTCTTTGGCAACTATATTTTGTACTGATAAGTTGAGGTAAGATGTTTATTATTTCTTTCAAACTATCCTAACAATGAGGAAGAGAGATTTTGTTAATTCTTGGGATTTATATCATCTGTACTTGTGAATATTCAGAGATCAGAGGAAGGAATATTTGAGATGTATTACAGAATCAGCCACGATCTTTGGACTTCCAGGTGGTAATGCATTATAGTTATTTATTTTGTAAGTGATGTTTGGTTTAAATAGGTTTGATAAGGTTTGATATCTCCTGGAAGATCAAATTAAAATCAAATCAAATTTATTTGTATAGCCCTTTACAATAGCCAAATGGTACCCAAAGTGCTTTAAAACAAAGCCATAAAAACAATACATAACACATATAAAAACATACAAGATACAATTAAAAGTGCTGTAGTGGTGCAGTGCTGCAGGACATTAAAAGCCTTCAAGAGGTGCACAGAAAGATGACATCTAAGAGACAGTATTATAGTCAGAATTAAAAGCTAAATTAAAAAAAGTGGGTTTTAAGCTTTTGACCTAGGGACCTCTAGCAGAAGCTGACCCGAGGAGCGTAAAGCTCTGCCACAATTGTGGAAAGTTAAAATCTCAGACAAGTAAGAGAGGGCAAAGCCATAAATGGCGTTAAAAACAAACAGAAGTCTATAAAAGATGAAGCTAATGGCTACTCTAAGAATGGCAAGATGCTAAAATGTCATCAAAATATTTGGATTTGTTGAATATTTTTCATAAAATCCAATGATCATTAAAACTAAACAACTTGGGTTGGAAGTGGTGTCTGTGTTTGATAATATCTGATCAATAAAAGTGTTTTTAATATAAAAACCTAATAAAGGTTTGGATGAAGATAGTTTATCACTCTGCTTTCACTGTAAAGAATTAGAAAATGATTTACATGTCTCACACAGGAAGATCAGTATTTCTCATTTGATTTGCTTCCACAACCACTGAGGTTAGAGATCATTTTAAAGCACAAGTTTTGCCGCCTTCTGGGATAGATTTTAGCTTCAGCTTCTGTGACGTAAAACAGGAAATATTCAGTTGTAAACAGCTTTCTCATTGGCTAGAGAGCCACAGTTTGATCATGACACTACTAAGAAAAGCAGCTGTAATTGGTTTAATTATCTTCAAGGACCAGAACGGTCACGGAAATGTTGAATGGAGCGAGAAAAAAAAAGCAAATACAATTTTACAGAAGATTTGAAAATGCAAGTTGAAAATTGAATAATAGTCTTTTTTTAAATGTGTGATTAGGAAATGTAGAATAAGATTTATGAATTTTGGTTTTTAATTATCCATTTAGGAATATGATCTGAAAATAAAATGTCAAATTCCACTATTATAATTATTTATTAATAAATACAATTTATAATTCCTCTTTAATAATTCGATTTTAAATGGCTGGTTTTCTTTTTCAGTGAATCTTTAAGAAAAGTTATCAGGGCTGGCCTCTTCTTTGTTAAACAAAAATGTAACTTTTTTAAGTAGGGTAACTTAATTTTTTGTATTTAATTTGGGCTTTTCCCCCTGGTCCTCCTTTCAAAAAGAATAAATAAAAAACAAAGACATAATTATCGACTGAAAGGCTGTATTCAGCCTTATTTCTAATTGAACTGTTTTTGTTGTTTAGCCCTGCAAGTAATGTTTTAACAAAGGAGCTAATAACTTTTTTTATACAGGGTCATGAAGTTTTGTCTTTTCTTAGACCTTAATAATAAACTATTTAAAAACTACTCTGGATTCACCTGTGTTTAATTTACATTTGTCTCATGTTCTGAAACACTTAAAGCAACAGCGTCTAACTTTTAGACACAAAGGTTAGTTTATTTATAGAGCACATTTAAGTGGCAAAACATTTCAAAGTACTTTACACGAGATAAAATAAAAAGAACTGTGCATTGCAGTAGTGTTGAGGCAACACAAAGAGAATGAAAGCGTAACATTAAAATAAGAGGATTGTATATTTTTATAAAATAAAAAATTATCAAGAAACCATATCAAAGGTTTGACTGGAAACCTGACTAAAATGTTAAAGCACAGTCAAAGACTGCTCTAAACAAACAGGTTTAATCTTGATTCAAAGCAACTTTTACAGCAAGTTTGCTGGAAGTTTATTCCAGCTTTTTTGAGCATATAGAAAATAACGCTGCTTCACCGTGTTTTATTGTGGTTCTAGGGAGAAGTAGACTAGAACCAGAAGATCCGAACGGTCGAGGTGGTAGATACACTGACAGAAAGTCTGTAATGTTTTAGAGCTAAGCCATTCAGTAATTTATAGACCAAGAGAAGTAATTCAAAGATAATTCTCTGAGACGGACAGAAACTCTGATCTCCAGCCTGATTTGTGTTTCAAAGCTGTATAACTTGAGTAGTAATTTCTAGTTTTATTCAGTCCTTTTTGTGTTGAAGTCTTACTCCAAATAACATGGGGACAGTGCGGAAAAGTCACAGTGTGCGAGTAGCACGAAACAAAAAACAACTGAGGTAGAAGGGCAGTTTGGCCTTACATGTCAGCCATTTCTTCTGTCTACTCTGGTGTAGTGAAGGCCATGAAGGCCTAATTAAGCTTTGAACCCTTTCTGTAGGTTTTTTTATTAGGTTTTGTAAAGGACAGTTTATCCCCAATCTGTACACCTGGATATTAATAACAGCAGTTTTTCAATGTTTGCACCAGTTAACGTTTTGCCAGTGCATTTCAGTGCAATGGCTCTTAAGGCTAAAAGTCGTGCAAATTATGCTGATAAGCTGGATTTAATGACAGTGATTGCAGCAAAAGCAGAAGTTTTAATTCACTTAGTGGCAGGTGAAGACATGCTCCCACCAGCCGTCACAGACCTTTCAAAGCGAGGCTGTGTTCCCTGTTAAAACCAAGCATGGTTGCTGCTCTGGTGAAGAGTATCGTCTCCCTTGGTTCGATGTGATAGTTTGCATAAGAAGAGGAGAATTAAACGTTGTCTCCCTAAATGAAGGATCACCTTTAAATCAATGAGTCGATCCAATCAACCGGTTTTACTTAGATAGAAAACTTTGAATCCACCTGACTGTATGATCTGGTTGAACTGTTTCTGTAAAGTGCCTTGACATGACGTGCTGTGAATTGTCGCTATATAAATAAACTGAATTAAATGGAGAAAAAGATCCAAGGAAATAGGACTGAGCTTAATTAGAAAAGAGGGAAAAAAGAAAAGATAAATGCAACAGAAAGGATAGAAAAATAATTTTTCTTTAGCCCCTCTTCAAGCATGAGAACCCTCCAGTAGTTCAGCAGCATATTACAAAATAATTCCTCTAATCAGACTTTTTGTTTCTCTGAAATATGATGGATTTGAAAATGCAGAAATTTTAGAAATTAGGAGAGTTTAGGTTAGGAAGGACATTTGGAATTTCACATAACGATTACCTGTTAAATACAAAAGACATTTGTTTACCCAATAATTAGTTTGTGTTTAAAAATGACAAAAAAGGCAGATTTTTGCAGCAGCATCTCTCTTTGAACACAATAATAATCAATCCTAATATCATTTGTGGATTAACTTTGGCGTTACGATTCTACAGAAGTAATGTCTATATGTTTGAATTTTGTAGTCGACCATCTATTTCCAAAACACTTTCTCTCCAAAAATTTCTCCCCAAGAAAGGCAGCTATAGTTTCATTCCAGGTGGGTATTTGTTGATCCTTGGATCTATCCGACAACCAAAACCACCATTTGCTTTCCTCAAAACTCTCCTGCCTCCTTCAATCCTTTACTGTCTCTCAAAGCGTCCATCAGTCTGACCCAGAAGGCGTTCTGTTCTAGAGGGTTTTCCGGCCACAGCAGGTATGTCCTTCTGTGCACAATCCTGCGCAGCCGCGTGTAGGGGGACAGGCAGTGCTCAGGGATCTCCTCCAGGAACACCATCAGAAGGACATCATTTCCATCACACAGAAGCCTCAGACTGGCAAGCTGAAACTCCACAGAGCACCACTCACTTTGCAGGTATGAATGGCTCACCACGCAGATGGTGTGTCGAGATCCATAGATTGCAGCCTCGATGTTCTCCAGGACCGCAGCACCGGGGCGGAAGTCTCTGTGATGCAGGCACAGCCTGAGTTTTGCTGCACCAGCAGCCGGTTTCTCCAAATTAGGCACCAGCTGTTTCATCACCCAGTCCTCATCTTTGGAGCTGTAAGAGATGAATGCATCATACTGAAATCTAACCCCTGCACCTCTTTTTCTTCCTCTAAGTTTTGCTTTGGCCATTAGTGTTTTGTCCAAGGAAACAACGACACTGAAAGCCAAAAAAAGGCCAATAGCATAAGCCATTTATCCATTTACTTCAGTGTATTGAATTCATATTCTGTATTAAAAGACATTTGAATTAGTGGAAAAAATAGCAGGGGGTAATATAACAAAAAGTTTAATCAACCAAAACTTTCAGTGGACCCCCTAGGGGTCGCGCACCCCCTGTTGAAGACCTCCGGCATAAGGCGTTCTAACTATAGGAAAATAAGGAAACAATGTCATAAGCTGAATTAATTTTTTATGGAGGCTGTGTGGAATAATAGAACGTTTTAAGTTGTTGTTGCTTGCGGTTCAGATTAACTTCCTGGAGGAGGTTGCCCTGTCCTGTTTGGGAGTGCTGTTTATGGATACCCATATTGGTTAGACAAGTGGCGTTGGATGTAGGAGTTTGCCCTGAAATAGAAGGGTTGACGGTTCAAGCCCTGACTCCGACTTTCAGTGTCGTTGTGTCCTTGGGCAAGACACTTAACCTGCAATATCTACTGATGGTGGTCAGAGGGCCCGGTGGCGCCAGTGTACGGCAGCCCCGCTTCTGTCAGTGAGCCCCAGGGCAGCTGTGGCTACAATGTAGCTAGCCACCATCAGTGTGTGAGTGAGTGTGTGAATGGGTGAATGAATGTAGTGTAAAGCGCTTTGGTCAAGTCTCCTAACTTGAATAAAGGCGCTATATAAGTACAGACCATTTACCATAGACAAGGTCACCACTAAAGGTGTGATTGGATAAAAACTGCCCAAATTCCTCCTCAAGAGGAGTTTCATGGTTAGTATCTTATGTGGGCAACTTAAAGTTCAGCTCATCTATAGTTCCTGGCAGCAAGACAGAAGGGAATGATTATATCCAGCAACTCATGCTTCATCAAACATAGGACAGGTGTACCTCAGGCCTGTTTTCATTCTATTGTTTTTGTTTTGTTTTCTCTGCTGATACACAAAACTGCTGATTTAAATTTAGGACCTTAGTTATTTAGCTTATGAGAACTGCCAGCTCATTTGAAAAAAATATAAGAGGAACAAACTTCTTCTCATTTTCTGCTTCTTTAAAAGCTGTTAAAAATAAACTCAACTTTCCATTAGCCCTTCCATTACCTTGGTATATTACTCAGCATTTCCTTGTTTAATGTACGGATGTGGTTTGAAGAAACTTTGAGAACCTTCAGTGAATTATTCGGAGGCAGGAGGTTTGCTGGTAGGGAGTCGAGGTCTGCCCTGTGCAGCATCAGCTTTGAAAGGCCCTTTAGGGGCGACAGCACTGCAGATAGGTTGGTCTCTTTTAAAACCACTCCATCTATGAACAAGATCTTCAAACTGATCAGAGGAGTAAATGCGTCGGGATGTATATTCATCTTGACACTGTTTCCGATGTTTATGCATGTAAGGTTCTGTAGACCCTTGAAGAAATGTGGTCCAATGTCACCAATGCCATAACCTCCAGGTCCCTGGTATCTCATTTCTAGAAACTATAAGACAGAAATCACATACAAACAACAGACATGCAGGGATATTAAGTGCAATCCTCACCTAATTTAGGTTTTATTTTTAAGAGAAGAGATAAAACTTTAACATTTACCCTCAGAGAAGTTAGGGACTCAAATGGAAATTCGTAGGATCTGAATTCGAGACGATTGTTATACAGAACAAGCGCAGTCAGTTTTTGAAGGCCAGACAGAATAAATGGTGTCACCCTCCTGATTCGGTTCCCACTAAGGTCAAGGTATCTGTGAGGTTAAAATGATGTAAGAAGAAAGTAGATGTGAAACAAAACAGATTTATATGGCTAATCGCCTTAATTACCTTAAGTTTGTCAGGTCCTGGAAGGTGCCCACTTCAATGAAACAAATTATATTTAAACTGAGGTTCAGCTTCTTTAGCCTGCGCAGATTACCAAAAGTCTTCTTCTTGAGGGATCTTAACAGGTTGAACTGCAGGTAGAGCTGCTCAAGACTAGTTAGAGCATTAAATACATTCGCCTCCAGCTCAGTGATCTCATTTTTCATAAGGGACAGGCAAGTGAGACCTTTGAGAGAGTGAAACCAACCGGAGTCAGTGTCCCGAATCCTGTTCCTGTCCAAACTTAAAAATGTCAGCTTAGTCAGGCTTCTGAATGTGTCCCGCTTAATGTTAACATGATTTTGGTTTAGGTAAAGTGTTTTAAGAGCTGTGAAACCCTGAAACGTTGCATTTGATATCTGCTTTAAACCACAGTTGATGAGATAAAGTTTGCTTGTGTTACTCTTTTCCGAAGACAAACGATCCACATTCCCCAACTGTGCTTGCAGAATTATAAGCATGGTAGGAGTGGGGCAGTCCAGAAGGCTGGTGTTACTCTCAGGTAACTTGGATCCTTTTAGGTCAACCTGTGTAAAAGTAAATTCATAAAAACGACTTAAATGATTTAAACCCAGAAGTAAATAAAAAGTAGTAATGAATTGCTACTCTACCTCTACTTTGGTGACGTTTTCCATCTGTCTCAGCACATCACAGATTGTCCACGAAGAATTCTCAGCAAACATAGAAAATGATATGTGAATGAGATCTCCCCTCGTCTGTGCAGAAAGTCCCATTAGACTTTCTACCCCGACCGACTGAAGGAGCAGAGTCCTCAGCTGCCGATTTGAGTTAAAAGCATCTGGCTGCAGCTCCAGTTGTGTATTGTTGGACAGTTTGATGTATTTCAGAGCTGGAAAACATCTCACATTTACCTTCTGGATGTTGTTTACTGAGAGATTCAAGTATTTTAGAGACAGGGAGCCTCCACACTCTTCACAGCTGAAAGACTTTAACTTGTTGAGTGACAGATCGATGCTTTCAATGGCAGGAAAGAAATGAAAGAGAAGGCCAGAGACGTCTGAAAGGCTGTTTCTGCTCAGAAGAAGGACTTTCAGACCGGTGAGTCCTTCAAATGCGTTCGAATGGATGAGTGACATGTTGTTGCCGGTGAGGTTGAGAAACTGCAGGAGATGAAGTCCTTTGAATTCTTCACCTTTCAGAAATGCTAGTTTATTTTGACTCAGGTCTAGATGTTTGAGTCCAGCAAAACGACTAAATGTTCCAGGTGGGACGACTCTGATCATGTTTTTGGAAAAGCTAATAAAGTTATATTTTCAGGGAACATTCTCACCACAGCAGAGATGTTCACAATCTTGCGGTTATCGCACCACATGCAATGCGAATCTGCAAAATTCTGAGAGCAGCTCATGAAGCCGAACGCAGTGTAGGAGGGGAAGTGAAGCAGAAGCAGAACCCCCCGACCATCTCTGTATCGTGAGTCACAGCTTCTTTTATCAGACGGCACCAGTCAGGTTGAAAAGATCTAAAGATACAGAGTTTGGGGGGAGGGTTTCATCAAGAGGGAGGTAGAAATAACTCTTTCATGAGACACGAATATAATTCATGTACGAATGTAAACAAAAGTCTGCTTTTTCTTAATGAGAGAACAATCTAAAGCAATCCCTTCTTGTTTCTAAAATATCAGTTATATCATATATGGTATTTTATGTTTGATTTATATAACCTATTAGTCAAGATGTATATTCTTACATCTTTTATATATAATCATAAAGATGTATAATCCTCTAAATCACAGCAAAGACATGTAATGAAATTAATAATAATGTGAATATATGAAAAAAAAATCATTGAATTTAACCGCAAAATGCTTGTATTTGAACAAAGAAGTTTATTTTTTTAGCATCTATATGAAAATTAGTCTAATAATAAAATACAAGAAAATGGATACTGTCTGTTGCTATTAAAAAATAAGACAACACACTTTTATAACCTCTCAAATATCGCATCTGAGCATGCAAAACATTTGATTTGTCTCCTAACTGATGAAAGTTGGGAATCAATTAATCAAATAATAGGGAATTCATTTGAACTTACCTTTCTTCTTATGTGTTCAATGCACAACTGCCCTTTATCTACTGACCATAGCTATAGACTGATGCTTATTTTGAAAGCATGTCACATCCTCTTTTTTATGAGGTGCAATGTGCTTCTTCAATCTTATAGCATTCACACTTCTGTTAATAGACACTTATTTGTGCTACTTTGGTATGTTAAATGTTTCCTCTTAGTTTATCTCTCCTAAGCACAGTGTTGGTTAAAAATCACCAGCGAAACAACAAAACCTACCTGAGGTTTATCTATATAGGTGAGCCATCAGCATCGTTTCTGAGCATGAAGCAAACACATTTTCAAAAAGAGGCAAAGGGATCTGAGAGGTCTTTAAAAAGCCAAGTCCTAATCATTGCATCACTGCTTCTGTAAACCAAAGAAGTTTTTCTGAAGTGGTGCAGCACCAGAAACTGCTTTAAAGAAGAAACAGGGGGGGGTTCTGATGCCGCAGAAGTAGTTTCACCAGAAATATATGTTTGTTCCTCCCATTGTGGTTTTTAAATCTACATAAAAAAAGAAAAAAAAGAAAAATAGAATTAGACCAAGACGTGGGAGTCCCTCCACCTTACCGGTCAAGAGCATTTAAGAGCCCCATGGTAGCTGTGGAGGAGCTGTCCTTTCCACAGATGTTTCGACAAATGTTGGTCATATACCTCATACATACGCCTTAATGGCAGAGCGGCAAGCCAAGTAGGGGGATCAAGCAGACATATGGAAGAAGTATCCTGATTTGATGAGACTAAAGCTGAACCTAACATGCATGATTGGACAGGAAACAGGCCAAAGTGGAAGATAAATGGGGCTAAATCCAGGATAACTGGAAGGAAAGCTGCAAAAACATGAGCCTGGTTTGAGCTTCAACTGCCAGCTGGACAAACAGCCAGAAATACAGCGGCTAACTTATATCAAACGTATGAAACTACACGTCACCCTTTTCACATTTTATTAATAAAATTTCTAAAAGGAAATGTTTTATTTTCATTTCAGATAGCAATGTGACGGAATGTAAAGATGTTGCAGGGACATGCACGTCAAAGTATTTAATCGATCATTTGTTATCATTTTGCTCTTATTTTGTACAATTACATGTTGAAGATGGGAATAACGTAAGTAAAATAGAGTATTCACACAGTTCCCTGATCATTTCAACTTAAGTATCCGCTGGTGTCTCTTCTGGTCCTGACAGCTGACCTTTTTTTCTTCTATGATCTGAAGGTGATGTTGGTGAAGGGGCCTGAGGATGTAAGGTGGGCAGGCCCCGCTCTCCTCCTAACAGCAGTCAGAAAGCTTTAGGTTTGGTGAATGAGGGGCCCCCGGCCTTAGGCCCTGGGGGGATCTTCGACCTTCAGCAGGGGAAGCACAGGTTAACCACACTTCTGATGGTTTGGCTGTAGGAGCTGCTTCACCTTTATCACAGCCAACCTGTAAACCTACAGCTAAAGGTGTTCTGCCATGTTGGATGTTTGTCTTTCTTGTTAATAAAAATTGTGTGAAGAACTTCTTTATTGTTTTATCCTCCCAAAGTATACACATGCATTCATTTGTGTACAGCCTTAAATTATTATTTGGAGAATTTTGATCCAGCTTTACTAATAAACCAAGCTTTTTTGCCTCAGTTTAATTAAAAGGACTGATTCTCATGGTTTTATATTGTATAATACATTTAATATACATGAAATTAAATGAAGAAACAAACAGATCATTTATTTAATTTACAGTATTATACATATTCATTTACAAGATTGTCTCTCAGCATGATTGTTGAAGGACAAATTGATCTAAAGAAAACAACAAATGCAGGAGTAGGTGCGGTAGATTTAAGTTTAGCTTTCCAGGGTAGTGAGAGGACTTGGAGGACACTGGGTTTCCAGTCGCTGGAGGGATGAGGGTCTCTGTGGAGGTTGGATGGAGGAAGGTATGTCAGTAAACACGGCTGATCGGCCATCGGGGCAGACAAGAACGCTAGAATCCGCTTCACACTTTGTGGTTCTGCTCGGCCACAAGGCCTCAGCTGACCTCAGGCCTAGGCCGCTCGGAGGCAAGGCTTCACTGTTCACGACCGATGACTGACTCATCTTGATCAGCATGTCTAATGACTGCTTACGCTTCTCCAGCGAAGCCTTCATCAGCCTCCTCTCGCTCTCTTCCTCCTCTTCCTTCTCCCCCTCATTCTCCTCCACCTCCTCATCCTCCTCTTCCGTCTCTCTAGTGCTTGCCTTATGTTTGCCATCTTCTCTCATAGTTTGCTCACAAGGCGACTCCATCGACTCCCTCTTCACTGACAGGTCAAGAGGTCCGTCGCTTTGGCTGGCTGTGCGCTCCAGAGCCTGGTGAATGTGCGACAACTCATTGCGGATTTTGTTCAGGTGCTCCCATAGGTGCTGCTGGGCAGGATGGTCCTCGTTTTCCAGGTGGGAGATTTTGCGCTCTGCCTCCTGATATTCTTGCAGAGCCTTGGAGAGATCAGTGAGGAGAGCGGCCACGGACTCTGAAGCACCTTCTTCGAGCGCCCTGGACGCAGCAGAGTCTTGGCTGGTGGCTTCAGCAGCAGCGGATAAAGAGACCGTTTCGTTGTTGGGACTGATGAGAGACTTGTCAAACAAGTGGTCATCTCGACGGTTCTGAAGCTGAGCATCTTGTAAACTAAAGAAAAAACAAAAAACAATGAGCTTTACTCTGGAAACCCTAGGAAGTTAAAAAAATAAAATCATAGTTTAACATTTACATTTGAAAAAGAAGCTAAATATATTTCTGATAAACTCTACCTGCTTTTTAGAAGAAGTTTCTCCGCTGATGCAGTCTGAATGCTCCTTAAAAGGTCCAAAGTGAAACCCATTGCTTGTTTCTTCTCTACAGGCGCTTCATGGCCTCTCAGGGGACCTCCTGTCCTCTTCAGACCACTGGTAGCTTTGCCTTCCTTAGCTGCAGCTTGTATTTTATCCCCCACTCTGTAGCCCTCATCAGGTGAGCCTCTTTGAGGTGACAACCAGCCAGCAGGGGACATTGTGTTTCCTGCCCTCAAAGCAGGAACTTTCCACAGACCTACTTTAGGCTGGAATCCAGAGCTTGCATCTGCACCACTTGATGGGTGTTTTAGAGATTTGCTGGCATCAGCCTGGGTGCTCACTGGTCCAAAAGTGTGCTCACACAGAAAGGGGTAATAGAGACGAGGGGGAATAAGGGCTCTGTCAGGATTGGAGCTGGATGCCGGGTGCATCAGCTGAGCAGCTGATGCCAGGAAGGGAAGCTGGGCGAACTGTGCGTGGGTCTGTGCGGCAACACCGGAAGCTGCAGCCGGAATCGCTGAGTTCATGTAGGAGAACAGGCTTGGGCTAATTGGATAACCTACTCCTAACACAGACAAGTTGAGTCCGCTGGGATCCTGGTAGTCCACCAGGTTGGGTGGGGGAGGGTAACAGGGGATTGAGCCGTTCACTCGTGGCTGAGCACCTTCTTCTTTAGTTTTAGCGTTGCTGGATGCAAACAGCCGCCACTGCTCCGACAGGAGCGCAGGACTTGTTAGACATGTCTTTGGCAGCTTATAGTGTCTTAGCTGGGCCTCTAGCTCGGCAGATCGGGCTCGTAACAGCTGGTCTTCAAAAGAAAGCATGTCAGCCATCAGCAACTCTGACTCTGGCTGTTTGCTCCTTTTGGCTGTGACCTCTGGAGACTCTACTCTCCTGTTGTTGGAGCTTGGTTTGACCATTCCAGTAACTTCTGCCCGGTCCAGTCGCCCTCCATCTTCTTCATCCCCTTCTCCCCGAGTTTCTCTGCCCTCACTGTCCTCCTCCTCTGACCTATGTTGCCCCTGCTTCTCGTCGGTCTGTGTTACTTGCTCTAGTTCATCTTTCCCTGTAGTATGCAGACCATGCGCTTGCTGAAAGGGTCGCAATTGATCTGGATGCAGGATGTTGCCCTTCTTGTATGGCCAATCTGACTCGATGAGCAGAGAAAGTGAGTTCTTGCAGAGACTGTACTTCATGTGGTTGTACAGATGGGATTTCTCCATGCAGGTGAAGGGGCACTGAAAGCATTTGTAGTTATAGGGTTTGCCCCATGGTCGGGGGATGTAATGTGGCTTCTTTGGTTTTCGCTCTTTGTGTTTGCCAGCTGATGTGACTTTGCAAGCTTCATCCTTTGACATGATTAAAGATTATTTCAAGCGTAGGTCCAAAACAACTAAATGTATTCAAGCAAATCTAGAAACGTTGTTTTTGTGCTATAATGCATTTCATTTGCTGCAGGTTTTGGTTCAAACTTGTGGGATAAAAAAAAAGGATCCTTTTGTTAAACTTGCCGTTATTCCTGT